GCGTAGAATTGAAAAGCAGGCATGGTTGTGGACAGATGACGTCAGGGTAAAGGTTCACGAGAAGAAGAAGCGCTATCACTTGTTCCTTGAGACAAGTCAGCTGGCAACTGGCAAAAATACCAGAAGCGAAAAAAGTGGCAAAGAAGGCTGTGGCTGCTCATTTCGAAGAAATCAGCAAGAAGCTGGAAACGCGCGATGGCGAACGGCACATTTACCGACTTGCCAAAGCTCGTCACCGCCAGGCCGAAGATGTAGAGAAGTTCTTTGGCATCAATGACGAGAAGAGCCGTCTTCTGATGGACAATCTCTACAGCAGAATATACACACCCGGTCATACCTCATGTCATACATGGTCCCGTGCAGAGAATAACCGTGAATTAAACGGACTTGGCTCCCAGGAAGATGAGCAACAGGCCCTGACGAAGTGGCGGTCGAAGTATGGAAGTCACATTGCTGGCATTCTGCCGAATGGTTGACAATGTTCTTCAATCAGGTCGTTGCAGAGAAAAAATGCCCCAAGTATGGCGAGAAAGCTTGACTGTTCCGATCTGAAGAAAAAAGTCTGTCCTGCAGGCTACTTGAAATAATGTCTAGTTCGCTTGCTCTCGCGCAGCATAAAAATATTTGGGAGAATTATTGATGAGCGTATTCGTGCTATACCAACGAGTGTGGCTTCGTGACCGGTTGTAGTGCCATCGACGCCATACATGCCGCTCGCCTCTCCCTAATGGAGAAACATTGTAGGAGGGAGAAGTACGTCCATCAGCCTTCCTTGATTTGGAGAAGGCTTAGATCGTGTCCCACGTGAAGGTTATATGGTATGCCTGCCTTACGGCAGCACGGCGTTCCCGAAGAGCTGATTGAGTGGGTACGCATCCTGTACTCCAGCCCGATGAGTCGAGTGCGAAGTCCAGCAGGCTATTTCGATGGAGTTCCCCATCACAGTTGGAGGTGCACCAAGGCTCTGCGCTTTCCCCGCTGCTCTTCATTGTCGTCATGAACGCCATTTCACGGGACCTCCAGAAGCCGGCTCCTTGGACGCTTCTCTACGCTGACGATGTGATGCTCGCCTGCGAGGATAAGAATGGTCTCGAGGAACAAGTGTGAGCTTGGACCGTTGGCGAAATTCGGACTAACAAGAAAACCGAGTACACATCGACAGCTGGGGCTGATAGTCACATACACCCCAATGTTTGTGAGCGTACCATGTGTCTTTAAGTGATCCCAGGGTGGCATCGCTGCGGCTGATCAAGGTGAGCCATAACTCCGTTGATCGATATCGCTGGATGTTTTACTCTAGTCTTTTTTTCGATCAACGGAGTTATGGCTCACCTTGATCAGCCGCAGCGATGCCACCCTGGGATCACTTAAAGACACATGGTACGCTCACAAACATTGGGGTGTATGTGACTATCAGCCCCAGCTGTCGATGTGTCGTGGTCTCCCTGCCCGAAACTACACTGGGTTGAGTAAAAGGCCGTGGGAAAGTCTAATTCATCCATGATCCGCCTACCGTTAATGCTGACAGCCGTTCCGCGCGGCCCGTGTCGCGCGCATCTCTCTTGGCTTTCTGCCGAGTCCTATAATTGCCCTTTGGAATACAGGTAAGACGCAATTTCCTGGTGCGGATAACATTTTAGGCGCTGCAAAATAGAACCGAAGATGATGACGAGGGCCAGAACTCGAGTGCAACTGTGCTGCTTCTGCAATATCCCTCGGAGGCCGGCGCATTCCCATGAGACATGAAAATAAAAACGGCCTAGACGTCCCACACGTTATTTTAATACAAGCAACCCGCAATTATCTGATGCGAATAACATTTGAGGTGTTGCTCATGCTGCAAAGTCCGAATAGAAGGTGATGAAAATGACAAAGGCTGGAAATTATGAACAGCGAATGAAGACGAAAATAAAAGAAAAATGAAAAGTTTAAGGAATCGCAAATTAGTTAAAATCGCGTGTAAATTTCTGCAATCCGGCGCGAATTTGGCTCCAATGCCACAGAAATACTTTAAACTAACGATGGGAGCTAAGGCCGCTTTTATTCTCATGTTCTCTGGAAATGCGCGGCCTCCGTGGGATATTGCAGAAGCAGCAAGTTGCTTTTGAGTTCTGCCCTCGTCATCATCTTTATTTCTTATTTTGCAGCACCTGTAAAGTTATCCTCAGGAAATTGCGTTTTACTAGTATTCCAAAGCGCAATTACAGGACTTGGCAAAAAGCCAAGAGAGCTGCGCGCGACACGCACCGCGCGGACGGCTGTTAGCATAGAGGGGGGTCTGGGCCGCAAGTTGCATTTTGGGCGGAGCATGGACGAATTAGACTTTCCCACGGCCCTGTACTCTAACCCCGTGCAGTTTCGGGCGGGGAAACCACGACACATCGACAGCTGGGGGGGGGACTGATAGTCACATAAACCCTCAATGTGTTGAACCTACCATGTGTCTCCAAGCATGAAGTAAGTAATATTAGTTACCTTCTCGACCTCACTGTCGAGAACGTCATGCGTCAATTTGAACGCGAAGACCTGGAGTGAAGATGGATGGCTGACAGCTGCACCATCTCCGCTTTACTGTAAGC